CTGTATTGTATTAAGTGTATGTGTGTTTGTGCTATCATTTCCTTTTAACCTTTGATTTTTTATAGTGTGAGGATATTAAGCAATGATAAATAAATGTATTATTATTATACTCATAATAATAATGAATCATAATAAAGCAAATCAAAGGAAATAATCCGCATTTTTTTAACCTGTGACATGAAGAGCAGCGTTATACATTTGACGTGTGTGTATGTATGTCTGTGTATCTGTGCTATTGACGAAGGATACAAATTTTTAAATAAAATTTTCGTTCCATGAGTCTATATTTATTATTTTCTTGGAGCGTGCACGGAGCCCTAAGGGAGTTACCTGCTCTGCCTAATGCTTAATCCGGCCCTGGTCACGGTAAGCGCACTCCGACACTACTTCATAGCGGCACTTTAAGAAAACTATCCATTTATATTAAGCAGTTAATGTTTGTATTTGGGCGAGTACTTCATAAAAATTCACACTATTTTTATAGTCATAAAATTAAGTATGTTTGGTGCCTGTGTCACTTTACAACCGATTTTAATTTGTTCCGCCTTGAGGTGAAGCTGAATGTTAGCAATCAACATGTTAATCAGGATCTCTCGTGTTGCCCGGAGTGGATTTTCGCGCGCTGTCAATTGAATAATTAGCAATTAGTATGTCAGTCAAGGTGTGCGACGTCTTTATTTACATCGGTTTAATGGCTTAGGCGTGATGGGCAGTATGGCGCGTGGCAGATGCGTTGTTCGAGTATCTGTTTTGTTTATTTAGATGGGGAAAAGCACACATGCAAGATGAGAATCAAACGTATAGTAGATCAGAAACAAGATAATAATAATAAAATAAGCTACTATTCAATGAATATAGGATTGGCCGCTTAAAAATAATTCTCAAAAATGAAATAAGCCTTTTCATTTGGTTGATAAGCGCACCACCCCAAGCTAGCATGGCTTAATTGAGGCGACATTCAATAATATTTATAATAATATTACATCTTCATTGTTCCGTGGCCTAGATATTTAGCGAGGTACTTGAATTTAAATAATAATTGTTTCAAGTTAGTTACTATATGATCTACATGAAAATTCCACTTTAAATGAGGATCCAAATTGACACCTAAATATTTTGTTTTATCAGCTGAATATATGACAGTATTTGTATTTTCACATTTAATTTGTAAAGGAATGAATAATGTTAATTTCGTTTTAAGGTTTGTGAACAGCATATACACGGTTTTCTGAAAATTGATTGTTGAATACTTGTGTCTAAACCAATCTGAAATTAAAATAATATTTTCAACAGCATCTTTAAGGCTAACCCAGGAATTGTTACTAGGATAAAGTATTTCTATAATATTATTTTATATATATATATATATATATGTGTGTATATATATATACAATTATATGTATATATATATATATATATATATATATAACTTGAGACGTGGTCATTGTCGTCTAGACCAGTTAGGTGAAAAATCGAAGTACCCAACAAAAGGCGGAAGCTTTAATTTTTCACCTATATATATATATATATATATTATTGTGCCTTGCGACTTCGAGCTAAGTAGGCTATTGACATACACAGTAAAAAATAACGGGCCTAAAACTGTCACTTGCGGTCACAGTTCTTTCTGAGCTTTTTGGAAACATTTATTTGAACATACTGGTTTCTGTAACTTCTTATAAGGTTTTGAGCGTATCCTCCAATTCCTGTAGCATAAAAAGTTTAATAGTTGCGAGAGATCCACCGTATCGAACGTTTTTGCTAGGTGTAAGAATATACATATATTTGTTTGTTCTAATTATTTATGAAATTTTGAAGGCAAGAAAGAATCCGCGTTGTTGAGTGGATTTTTTTTTTAATTCAAATTGATTTTCATGTATCAGCTTATGTTTGTTGAAAACACTAATGAACCTTTTTGATTTTTTCAATTATCTTTGCCATATTGGATATTAATGTTATTGGTCGATAGTTGCTGGTATTAGATACCATGTGTGCAAGATTCATGGAACACAGGTTTAATTTCTTGCTCATGTCCAATTCGCCCAAATAAAGGTGTGACGCAGATCCAAGCGACTATACTTTTGTACTAGGTAAAAGACTGTCAAACAACAAGCGCAGCTACGTTACAGTCAAGCAGTAGACTACACAGTCGAGCAAGTTCGCAAGCACACAAGGCCGCGACTCGCACTGTGAACAAAATTGAATCGTGCGACTTTAGGTCCAACCAAAATTATAATTTTTCTTCAACAACCAATCCCAAAATTAATTTTAGGATCAATTTAAAATTGCCGAATACTAACTAGCAATGCCAAGGCACCCCTCAAATTGATGCACTTCTTTTTTCTTTGCTCTCCCTCCTTCCTTCCTTCCTTTCTTCTTCCCTCCTTTCTCCCTGACTTTGTTTGGTATCTGGGCAACCAGACCTGACAGACCTACTGACTTACAAGACTTCAACCAAGAGCAAAGGTCCTACGGACCGCTCTGACAGACAATGACGAATAGTAAGACTATCAAGTTCATTTGATGCTTTTTCTAAGATTTTGACGCCAATACATTTCTTTCATGATTATAATTATATGCCATTGGTCACGTTATTTATATATTGTATGTATTTTTCAATATTTCATTTTGCAATTTCTAAGCATAAAAGCACTAAATCAATTTATCAAAGAAAAAGAACAGTAGTTTTCAAACTAGTTTAGTTTATTTATATAATTACTTCTGCTGAATGTGGTTATTAAATTTAATCATATAATTATTAAATTTAATTATTAGATGTTGAAAAGATTTATTTTTGTGCTATATATATGAAGTTCAATATTAAAAGAAAATAAAATTCTGCATTATTGCGTTTCCCCTTTGAAAGAATAATATCAATGAAAACTACGAAAAAAGGCAGTCAATTTGTTTTTTTGCAGAGTATAAGAGCAGTAAATTACATGTTACTGCGTTTTGATTTACGACAATTAAAAACGGAATGTCATTTATTTTAGGCCTTGACAACAATTATAATCACATTCAAACGACTCTCTATAAAGTCATGTAGTTTTGCAAGATTTATATACTTATGTTGTGTCTTAATAATAATACCAACAAAATTCAGAATTTTGAGTTCAATTTTCTCACACTCCGATTCTTAGATTTTACTACCTTTTACGTAAAGCAGTATTAGGCCTGCACCGCTTCTAGCACTAATCTGCTTCCTCATAGGAAGGTGCGAGCATTCTTGTACTTTTCTCAGGGATGTGACGGTGCATATAAAAAATGTTTTTTCTGTTTCAATATTGATCGATTTGTCCGAAATCGATTTAAAAAAAAATAATAATTTTCCCGGATCCCATTTCACTTCACAAAATGTATAATGTAATGTATATAAAAGACGTGTTGGGTCGCTTTTAGGTATTTACCTCTAGAAAATATCTTAGTGTTAACCAAGAATTACGCACCACAAAGAAAAAAACACCGTTTTCAAAGGTACAAACCTGTTTATGTACCTACTTATGCACAGATGTGGTATTTGATCTTCTTATTCATGTCGCCGAAGTGTGAACTTATTTTGAGTGTTGAAATGGGTATTTTATTTAATCGATGTATTAAAAAGCGACTATTATAATTAAGAAAATGATTCTCTTATCTTATTAAAAATCGATTGTAAGGAAAAATAGTCGACTAATCGATTATTAACATTCCTACTCCTTATACACCAATGGAGTTCGTTCTGCTTTACTGCTGCAAGGGCTTCAGCAGGGGCAGCAATGTATTGCTAGTTATGGTTTATGGTTGCCAGTCCAATCAATCTCAGCTTCAGCTTCGAGAAGCTTCTTTCTCCTGATGATATGGTAACTTATAGTATTAGAAGAATCCACAAAACCACTTACAAATTAGATGTTAGATTCTGAAATAAAATTAACGACGCCTTTGGGGTGACTCTTTGGTAATTCTTATAGAAATAGATTGAAGCTCGCCAACGAACTATACTGCGAGGTTAGCAATGCTCGCAATTCATTATGGGCTTGCAGATGTGTTGTCGGAGTGAGGTGTAGGCTTAAACCCAAAGTGGTGCACTGGCTCTATACGACGATAGTAAGTCCATCTCTTTTGTATGGCTCTCTGGTTTGGCGGACTTGCATCGAAAACCGGGATAACTAAGGCCAAAGTAAAAAATGTTGAGCGTTTGACTTGTGCAAGTATTACAAGCCTAGTGCGGAGAATACCATTGAGTGCAACTGAAGCTCTGCTAGACCGCCCACCGTTGGATCTAGTGCTCCGACTATGAAGTCAGAGCAGCTGGGTCTTTTTGAATCCTATCAAGGGTCACACTGCCATCTTAAACCACGGTTCCAACGCAAGTCAAGGCACATGTGGTTACACATTTGGATGTGTTCGAATCGGTGTGTACGGCGCGAACTAACATAAGCCACCGGCTACCAAGGTCGGCGTTAGCGTTCGATTACGTTCGGTCCTTGATCGAAGGGAGGTTTGATTTGGTCAGGACAGGATTTGCTGCGCATCTAGTATTTAGGCCTGTAAAAGTAACGATTTGTTCGCTACCCGTATGTACTCGTTACTTTTAGATTGACTACTCGTTACAAATATTCGTTACTCGTTACTTTCGTTACTTGGTTGCTAGAATAATATAGAACCAATTTAAATACCGGTTGTATATGTGTGCGTGGTAATCGTCAGCACATTCATACCATAACTAAATTACAATGAATGTTGATGTAGTTGTAAATAAGTTGGGAAAGGAAAAGAAATGTAACTGCAATATGAATAAAGAATTTTTTTTTTAAATTTATGATTTATAACATACAAATAAAAACGCATTCTTGAACAAAAAACAAAAATAAAAAATATAAAAAGAAATCCAAAAAATATTAAACAAAACTACCTATCTTGGTTATCACAAAATGAACTAGAAACTTTTATACCAATAGTCTTTGGTTCATATGTAAAAAGAGAATTTTTTCAAGGCGTTTCGGTTTCAACGAGGCACGTTTTTATGATAATATTTGCCCCGACTTGGAAAAAATTCTTTCCGATGGCACCGATGTAGCCATCACACATAAGTATTTTTGTGCTAAATTAGACAATTCTGGATATAAAAGTGTTCGCGCGTGCCACCATTTAAGTGGATTTTCTTTTCTAAATAAAAGCTTCTCTTCCATATACTGCCTAAAGGTAATTATACTGGCAGATGTCTTTGATGCTGTAGTACTCATGGTTGTTGTTCTTCTATCAAACTCTAGCCAAATAGAGTCTTGTTGCTCGTCAAACATAGGAGAATCTGTATCTTCGCTTTCGGATTCATTCACAAACGATGGTTTTGCCATCATCCTTTCCAATTCTTCTCTCACAGAATTTTTTGCATACTCATAGCATGAATCGTCAGCAAAAGCTTGTCTCTTAAACCTAGGGTCCAAAATCGCAGATTTTGATAGAACTTGGTGTCGCGAGCTATTTTTGAACCTGATATTAAATTCGGCTTTCAGTTTAGAGACTAATTGTTTGGACAAATCACATGTCAGGGTGTTATTCAAGTTATTGAGTATTCGTAAGACGCTGGAATTTCCTGCCAAAATTTTTGAAATAGTCACTTCGTTTTCAGACGAAAATTCCTCAGTAAGTTGTTTGAATGGTTTTAATATTTTTACAACTTCTGGAAGAATTCGCCATTCGTTTTCTGATAGGTTTTCAACTGGATTATGCAACAAACCTATTGCAGCTTCTATAGGCTCTTGTAGATTTGCAACTCTTTCTAACATATCTAACGTGCTATTCCAACGAGTTATAACGTCCATTATAAGTTTCAGGGGTTTTTGTCCAGGTTTTAATTGTTCTTGCACTGCATATAGCTTTTTTGTGGCAATAGAGCTCCTATGAAAATATTCAACAATGCATTTTACTTTTTTAATAGGTTCTTGTATTGTCTGAAGGCTTGCCTGAACTATTAGGTTGTAAGTGTGGGCAACACATGGAAAATGTTCCCACCCTGTCAGCCGAATAGCAGCCTTCATATTTGATGCATTGTCTGTTACGCAAACAAATATTTTGTCATTGATCTCCCAATCAGTCACAAGATGTATCAACTCCTGTTTTATATAATCGGCCGTATGTCGCTCTTGACATTCGAAACAACCCAAGAGGGCGGAACGCATTTCCCAAATATCTCCTAAAATGTAATGTGCTGTTACTGCCTGATAAGAAGTTGTAGCACGAGACGTCCATCCGTCTGTCGTTAAACATATATGTGATGCACGTTTCAACTCGTCTTTTAATTTTTCTTTCACCAACGTGAATTGCGCATCCAGCAAACCACTACTAAGCATATATCGCGAAGGAATTGGATAATTTGGTTCAAGATAATTGATTAACTCAATAAAACCTGAATCTTCCACTATAGAGAAAGGTTGCAGATCCTTAATTATTAATTTCAAAATCAAATGATTAATTTTTTTCTCTCGTGCTGCACTTAGAGGTTTTCTAGTAAATAATGCGATGTCGGTTTGCTGAGCTTCTTTCTTTCTTTTAGGTTCATTTGAAGAAGCTTGAAATTGCGAACATTCTGGTAAATTAACAGGTTGTTGACTAGGCTGGTTAGATATACATGTTGAAGGTTTTAACGAGAATACGCTATCATAGGACGGTCGATGTTTTGTCATTAAATGTTTTTTTAAGTTTGTTGTTGAACCCCCTTTGATCGAATACGAACATTGGCATATATCACACTTCGCCTTATTTTCTGTTTCTTTGCTAAAAAACTGCCAAATCTTACTTCTTTTCCCCTCCATGAAGTCGAGACTTTTAACAGCAAGTACTGAAACAACATAAAAAATACGTATCAAACTAGGAACATCGTCCGTCAGTTTACTACATAATTATGTACATTTATCTAAGTATTCAATTCTCCCCGATTTTAAAAGATTTGTTATATATATTCGTTGCTTACACGGTTACGGTCATTCCACAATAATACAAAAAATCACTATAATTTATATTAGGTTTTTAAGTGGGTACTCATATTTTATTTTATAGATTTCATTTACGCTCCTAATTCCTCCCTCAAATCCTATTAAAATAAATATCACATATTTAAAACTTACCTATTTAAAATTTAAAGGAATTCACCATCAAACAACTCTATCAAGTGGCAACAAACAGAGCAACAACAGCATAAACAAACACAAGTCGGTTCGAGCAGATCACATCACATACGAAACATACGAAAGTAACGACATACGACATCCGAACCGTCATGCGTCACCCATATTCCCATATAATACAGGATACGTACGTCTAGCAGCCCGCCAGACCGCATAGCAAACCTTCGGTCACTTTGGTGATGTATTGGCTGCGTATAACATCGATGCTTGCTGATAGCGATAACCGCGTAATTCAAATCGTTACTGAAGTACTGTATGCTGTGCATTATTTTAAATCTTATTATATTCCTGCAATCACTTAGCTTTTATTTGATATTTTTATGTGAGTTGATTCACTTTAACAAGTTTAATATCTTCATAAACATATTTTTTCGAATAAGTCTTTTGGTACTGTTTCAAACATGCGAGTAACGATATGTTTATGAAAGTAACGATTCGGTACTTCGAATCTTTCCTACTATTCGTTACTCAGTAACGAATACATACGGTTCGTGACAGCTCTACTAGTATTTAGTCGTTTGTCTGCATTCGATGGGAGGAGACTCGTCGCTCGATATTAGCACCGAACTTAACCCGAAGCGATAAAACTCGAAACTAAATCTAGGTGTAGACGACGTGTAGAGGAGCGCATTCCAATACCTGCCAACAGCAAACGCCAACGTCACATACGCTTGCATTCGTTTGTTCGGCGTTGGATTTTTGATCTGTACCCGGCTTTAGTCGAACTGCAAAGTGAAGATCTTGTCCTGCTACGCAAGTTTAATGTAGAGTTCCCGACGAGGGTGGAGGTGAGACTCCGGAAACCGGAAAGTCTCCGAAGGGAGCGGGCATTCATATTACATTCATATCCTTAGACTGATTCAGCTTTACCAAGTATCTTGCTTTCTTTCCTAATTCATCAATATGGTAGATGAAACAATTCCTTGAAGCTGATTATATGGCTCTGTAATAGAGATAGCAGTGTCCAGGATAATAAGATAAAAAGTCAATTTATTTTTTTTGTTTTACGTTTTGGGTCGTCGTTTACCTCATAAAGAAATTGCGCATTCCAAAAAACACTTATAAGCTAGACTTTAGTTTGGAATCCAAATTAAAGTTTATTTTTGTTTTTTTTACTTTTTGTCTGCCTTGCTTTTATCGACAAATGGAGCCACCTCGCGAGCCCCCCCCAAGCTCCCCATAGTCGGCAATCAGACCCTGGCACCCTAGACGGGCTCCTAGTTTGTCTATCCTATATGATAGAGCCGCCCAAGGCTATCAGTTGCTTGGAACAGATTTGTATTATTGCTTAAAAGGAGAACTGAACAAAATTATCAATTTGTAACAAGCGCATATATGCTCATCTATTGGATGCTGCCACCTGAAATAACGAGATGTCTTGGCAAATTGATAATTTCGACACTTCACCGCCTAGCAAGTGCATAGTACAGGTTAAGCGGATGTCTAATCTATATTTATGAATGAATTGACTAATTTATGAGTAAATTGACTAATAATGACAGTAACTATGATCGTAGGTGTGTTTAAGAAATTTGAGATTCATGCTCGCGCGGATAACAGCAATTTGTAATTTTAATTGAGCAACAATGCTCATTACCAGCTGCTGCGTCAGGTTCTGAAATGTCCCACTATTACTTAACACGGCTTGAACTTTGGTAATCAATTTTGCTCTGATCCGCCTTCGTGTGTAAGAAGACGATCAGGCTGAATAGGGTATGCTTGTTTAATGATTTTAGGAACAGACCACAACAAAAAAAAAGCAAAGCAATAGATAGAACAATGTATGTTTGCAAACAGATCTTATTCAGGTGGGTGAGGCTTCTTAGAAGTAGACTCTGTTATTCAAAGACACCGAAGAACTGTTGTTTCCCGATACTGTAGGCTAGTATAGCGATTGAGATACCTATGTCGAGTAAAACCATAAAGCGATCGAATGGTGACCACACGCCACTGGAGTCCCTAACCTCAAATCGTTTATTATACTTGCCATCATGGATAACAAAAAATAATCTAAAAGCACAAAAACACAGTTTGCACTAAGATACACACATACACCTATACACACACACGCACGCACACACACAATAAGACAAACCATGAATGAATACTTTCTTGTAAAATCAGTTGAAAGTCAAGCCCAATGTCGTCAAACTTCACGCAAAGTCTTGGACATAAGTGCACTGCTCTTGCTCGATATTAGTTCGAACAGTGTTTCAGATTCCGCCAGGGCATCGTTCTATCTAAATTCATATATATTCTGGCGGAGGCCATGTAAAATATCAAATACATCTACGATTTGCAACAAAAAATGGTCGGTTTTCTACCTATGAATGATGGCAACAGCGTAAAATACCATAACAACAACTTTCTAATGTCTGAAATGTAAATTTTGTAAACAGGTATGTCTATCTCTATCTATCGTCGGTGGTGGTGACAGTGTCATCTTTATTTTAAGAAGACGATTCTCAACCACAAATATTTTTTGAGTCATTCAAGTATCACCATTAATCTGTGCGATTCAAAGAATGACGTTTGGCAAATTTTATTTTCCTAATAACTCTGACTTGTCTTAAAAAATGTCGAACAGTATCGCAGGTGTAAGCCAAACAAATGTCATCTACTGTCAGAGCAAACAACATACACAGCTAGTTCACATAAGGAATTTAAATATGTCATAGGGAATCTTATGACAGCAAGTATCGATGTTACGTAATAAGTATTCGAGACTATTTCGAAGACAAAAACTGCGCTATAGTGAAAAAAACTGTATGTTGCTAATGAATGCAATATCGAAAAAATTAGGTCAATTATCAATTAATTATTATTACCCTTCGAGAAGCTAATAAGAAGGTAATCAAAAATAACCCGAACGGCAATAAAATTTTTGTTCAATAGCCTGGCTCTAATGCAGCAGATGCGTGCTTTTAGTCATAATAGTACACTTGAGAACACAGTTGATAATATGATCAAGGAATATCCAATTATAAAGTTGATAGAGAATTAAGTGATTTGCAAAACAAGTATCAGTTTCAATTATAATTATCGCATACGTTTCGTTGCTTCTCTATAAAGATGTGGAAACAACCCAACGTATGGTGTGGTGTGAGTGGTCTTAATTAAGCCATGAATGTTTTGAATATATGAAGAGGTGTGGAGCAGGTATTAAGGTTGCATCCATGCAGAAAATTGAAATGTTTTTGTCTGTTTCTTTAATCAATTTGATCATTTCTTATGGTCAATTAGTTAAGCCACATTTATGAGTTTAGCATGAGGTATTATTTTTTAATGAAGGCGGTGTCTAATCGCTCAACGAGGTGTTCAAAATATTTATGTGACAACCAAGAAAGCTCTGGATCGATAATGGAAAACAGACTATGCCATAAACTTGCAAAATACTTCTAACGGGATGCAATGAGCTGTAAAAATATCTTCACTGACTAAGGCTGTGTGATGAAGAACCCAATTGCAAATAATGTGAAAGGTGAACAGAGTTCTTTCATGTCTTCTATGACTGCGAAGAGCTAGATTAGAAGTGGCAGCAGCTTTTTACTCAAGACTTCTAGAGAAAAACGTGTAGCTCTATTTCCCTATTTTTTGATATTGTGATATTACTGTGAATGTAAATAAATATGGTATCAATAATTTGTATTATAAACTTCAAATCGAGCGGAAAATATCGATTAAGGGTGTTTACAAACGCGCACAAAATCAATCTTCAACATGCATAGTACTTACACACATGATAACAATTCTGAAACGCTATCAATACAGCTAATTTGTATTAAATTTATTGTTACATACTCGTAGATCCTTGTATCGATGATTTATTAGGTTCACATGAAATTATATTTCCGGATATTTTGGTTACATCCAACAACATTTAACTTTTAAGGACGCAGTAAAGATATAATTTCCGTAATTATCTACACTAGTCCATCAGACATGAGAAAATCAAATTATATTTGAATTACAGCGGAGTACTTTTTTAATTCCCGCCTTATATAACATTTTAAATACTTGTAAATTACATATTATTTGAAATAAAGCTCAGTGTATGTTTATATAGTCACTGATGATTAATATTTTTGCATGCGTACGTATTTTGAGTCGCTAAAACCGAATCTGAAGTTATTTTAAATGTAAAAGATCCTCAAACATCATACTATTAGATGAAAACTGTTATGCTAGTTTACATAACAAAATTTCCAGTTTTATAATTCATGATTACAAGTGGATAAAACTTGATACGCTCAAGTTTGGGACCACTGGCGCCCGCAGGAGCATTTCTCAGGGGGTGCCGATCATCGGCGAGACATTTATAAAAATGTACCTGCCTCCAAAAATTTTTGAAGGGTATAAAATTTGTACACAAAATCATGCTAAGTTTGCAAATCCTAAGGTCCATTAAATAAAATTCTAATGGACATCTAATAAAGGACATTACCAAGCTAAATGTATCCAGAATGAACTTTTATTTCTTTCTGTCTTATATCAGTCCCGATAATCCACATGCGCATCGTTTTTTGAAAATATTCTGATACATTTTGTAGCTATTATATCTCAAGTACGGAGCACTGGCAGTCTAAATCATTTCCGGAACCAATTAAACTTTCTTCAGAACTCCGTGTTGTTCTGGCCAAGTGTGTAGAAATTACACTATCCTGACGCATCGGCGACCACGTCAGTAGAGATATCTCGTTTCAATTGCTCAAAAAACATGAAGTTCAGCATGAAAATCACAGGATAAGCTTCAGATGTTACAATACCTACTTCCTTTGTCTCATTGTCCATTTCGTCAATAGTAACAGCTGCCGGTAAAAAGCTCGGTTTCTTTAGGGCTGAGGAGTATTTTTCTCCGCACAACCTCCTTACTCTGTACAAGGCCTACATAAGATCCAGCCTCAAGTACTGCTCACATGTTTGGGGTTTGGCGCCCCGACTATATTCGATGTTGTTCAGAGGAGAGCTGTTCGACTGATCAATGACACCTTTCTAATGGACAGTCTCGGGACCCTTTCGCTCCTACGGGTGGTCGGCGATCTTGTTTCGTTCTACCCCTATGTCAACAGGCTTTGCTCATCAAAGCTCTTCTCCATGATTCCGCAGCGGACTCGCCGGGCTTCGGCCTTCCATCCCAACTCTGTCGAACTTCGCACAATGAGAACTGGCCGGTACAAGCGTGCCTTCGTTTCTAGAGTGTCGAGATTGTGGATCAGCATGCCTGAGGAGGTTTTTCCCAGTTCTTTGGTGCCTCAATAGGTACTCG